TGCCCCAACACCGACAACTTCATCTGTTCTTGTAACATATGTGTGTGTAGGACGGTGGGTGGGGGAAATGGTTCTACTTGATTGCACCGCCCCCCCACCACCAAGTGTTCAAGTTTTATACTTGCCCTTTGTCTTGGGAAAGTCAAAAGCTAGCAGCTTAACTTTTCTCTGGTACCATTCTGATAACTTTTCCATGTGGCAAATTGGTGCTATCGTGGGTTATCTGCTGGGCTGAGAACCGAAAGGTCAGTAGTGTGAATCCACTAGCTGCCCCGTGAGGGAAAGACGAAACTTCCTGCTTCTGTGCAGATTCAGGCTCACAAACCTCAGGACGTCGTTTTATTACTCTGTCCTAGAGGGTCGCTATGAATTAGCATCATCTCAATGGCAGCCAGTTTCCTTTGTGGGGGGATAAGGGATTTAGGGAAAACCTGGACAGTATTACTTGAAATACAGTGGGGAATGACAGTGGAAGGAAAAGAAAACCTGTCAATGAATGTATCAAAATACTACCGCACCATTTATCTGATAATAGTTTATGCAAGATCTCCTTTTACTTTTGACATTTGTGAAATACATAGGCCACGTGATTTCCACCAATACATATGGGGGGGGGGAGCTTTCAAAATGTATGGGAAAATAGAATTGAAAGATAGTGGAATTTTCCCCATGAACACTTTGAAGTCTCCTTGTACAGGGCGGTGGGTTGTTCTTACATGCATGTCACCGTATGTGTCACACAAATGGAATAGCCCGTGAAGGGGTGTGGGTGTGGGCGGCCTTTGTTGAAACCTGAGGGCTCCTCTGGCTTTGTGAGGGAAAAAGGCTTCAGACAGATACGGGCTTCACGCCACACTCGGTCTCTAAGGGCTCTTTGCTTCCGAGAGCAAATTCCCACTCAGCCACAGGGGGGCCCCTGCTCCCCTGAACTACAGACCTGCCTCAGCCTGGGAATTCAGAAGCAAAAAGAGGAGTGGCCTTAGGAGCAGAACAATAATCCATGCATCATATTTTTGTACGGAGGTGAAGGGGATCTTTGGAAAATCATCAGATATTTCTTCTGAATGGTGCTGTCTGAGGGTGACATTTGCCAAGTATTAGTTGGACTGTACTTTGAACAAAGGCTCTGGCCTTGCTGATAAATGCATATGTCTATATAATACCCTAACCAATCTCCTGCCCCACCCCAATTAACACTCCAGCACCACTGGGAGCCACAGGGCATGTTTCAACACCAGTAGGAGTGTGCCCTGCTCTGCTGAGACCAGGGACACTATCATGTGGCCCGGGTGTGTCTGCCACAAACAAAGGGCAGGCCGCTTCACTGGAACCACCGGCTGTGGGGCACACAACTCAGGCCACTGCCACGGAGTCTCCTCGGAGGAAAGTACGTGGCTTGGCGTGATGTCAGCTTCCTGCGGCGGTTAGTAAGGAGCAGCTGGGCTAACTGTGATCTCACTGTGGCTGCAAACTCACAATATTAACCGTGCGGGTCAAGAGGAGTAAGTCTTGCACCTCCAGGGTTTATAGGAATTTACCTATCTCTCCCACCAGCCCTAAAAGTTGCTCATCAGCTGGCACGTCTAAGATCTAGGTGTCGTGGTCCCCAAAAGAAGCAATTAGAACAACACCTCTTCACATCCTGAAGGTTTTGTCGGGTTCATTTTCTACCCCTAAGCTAGTTATTGTTCTCTAACATGATGGGGGGATTCTGTTATTTTAAGCAAAGTTGGGAACAGGAGTGAGATGAAGTTGGGGGTATAGGGGTGGCGTGTCGGCAGAAGAAAGGGTTAGCTTGGATTCTCCTTCCCTCCCGGCCTCAGAGTGGCTGAGATGCAGCAAAATTGCGGTGGCTGCTACTGCTCATGGCCTTAATCATCTCCAGAGTGGGGCGATGCCGCTGAGGCTGGGAGAGAATTGCTTCAGCGGGGGGCTCCTTTAACCGAGCTTTTATAAGAGCCGTACAGTCTGGCCATGGCTGCTGCTGACGCTTGCCTAGGCTGGCTTAACTCCTCTCCTTTCCATGGGGGTTGTGAGGAGAACCAGCTTCCTATTAACTTGGGGCCTGTGTTTTATTGACTGCGAACACTCGAGACCCCAGCTCTGGAGCCATCTGTGACCTGTCGTGCAGTAATAGCGTGGCTTTTCCCCGTGTTCGGCTCCCTCCCTGAGTACTTAGTGTTAAATCATAGGGGAGGAAGTGTGAGCAGAGGAGAAACAGCACTATTACATGACCCCCGATGAGACCGCTGTGACAGAATTAAAAGCTGCCGCCCTAGGACATTCTAACAGATGACATTGTGAGGTTGCCAAGGTAACCCACCAGGATACAGTTCCAGCATCTTTGGGGTTGATGCTGGGTAGGCGAGGTCAGTTAGAGGTGAGCCCCAGCTGCCCAGGGACCACACCCTGGTTGGCCAGTCCAGGGCAGCCAAGGGAATATTGGGGCAGCTCAGTCACCCAAGTGAGGGGCGCTCCTCCTTGGATATTCCAGGTGGGACGAATTTGACAACTCTGGGTAATGATGTAATGTAGGTTACACAGAGCCTTAAAAAATCTGAATATTAATGATTCATGCATTCATTCAATACGTGTTTATTGAGCACCTATTATATGCACCAGGTAAGGACATCTCAGGATATCGAAGGGGAAAGGCCCAAAGTTCTAGAAAACTCTCAAAAATACAGATCCATGCAGGGGGAAAAAGACATTTAAGACATTGACGCATGGTCCGTACTCAGAAAAATGTGTGGAAGAATCAGAACAACCTATTGACCCCCATTGTTCTGGCTTTCCAAACCAAATAAGACGTCAAATAGAAACCAATCACGGACAACAATTTTATAGCGTGGCAATGGTTTGTTTAATAGACATCAACCTCCTTCCTCTCCAGCCACCATCGCGTTTGGCTGTGTTTTCTCCCTTCTCCTCTTTTCTTCCTTTAAACATTGCCTGATTGCTTTTGAACTACAGGTAGACCTTGGAGATACTGTGGGTTAGGTTCCATGCCAGCAAAACAAAGCGAATATTGCAATACGTTGTGGTTACACTCTCCTGTAGTCTACTAAGTGTGCCTGATGAAAAGTTTTGAGCCAACATGTGACCCAGCGATAGGTCGTGAGCACATGCTGGTGGAAAAACGGCTCCGATAGACTTGTTGGAGGCCATGGAACCGTCAATTTGTCAAGACAGGCAGTGTTTGTGAAGCGCAATAAAGTGACATGTAATAAAAAAAGGCGTGCTTGCACTATAAAAAGACTGTCTCCAGCGAAGTGTCTGTGTCCGTTAAAAGACATCAAAGATTTCAGATGGGGCCTACTTTGTAGCAACTCTAGGCCTAAGGCAGTTGAACATCATAAAAATCCCACCGTTTGGCCTTCAAAAGGTGGGTGTGCAAAATCCCAGCGGTGCCACTAGACACTTGTCCCCACTCATTATTTTGTGACCCTGGAGTTGGGCCTTCACCTTGTCTTATTACTTTCTCCAGGATGCAAGCCAGGGGGTGGGGGTGGGGCGGGATGAGTAGAACGGAAAGGGAAAGAGCCAAAAGGGGCAAGGGCCCGTGAGCAGGAAAGGACAACTGGGATGGTTAGAGAAAACGGAAACTGCTGAGAAGTGGTTGCAAGTAGAGTTCTGTAAACAACACAGTGCTTCCTTACCTCCTGGGGTGTTATTAATACTAGGAAGGCCTCATTAAAACACCAATGAGGCCTACAGCAGCCCTCAGTCCAGTGGGCCCGATGCTTACTGATCCATCTTTTCCCAACCAGAAAATGCAGATAATTAACTAGATTATTTCAGCTGTCTTGTTCGCTTCCCCTTAATAATTGGACAGACCAACCATTACCAGTTACCGAGTGCAAGTGCTTCCCGAAGCACTTTACATACAATAACAGACTTAATTCTCACAACAACCCAGGAGTTGGTCCTATGTGGCAAATGAGGAAAGATGCACAGAGAGGGGAAGTCATCCGCGCAGAATCCCAAAGCGATTCAGTGACGAGATCAGGAGGCCATCGCATGCCATTCGGCCCGAGCGAACAGCAATCGACGCCTCTGCTTTCATTTTGCTTTGTTTCAAAAAGTTCCGCAATTTAAGGGCATTTTCATAATGAGCTCGCTGCCTAACATCTTTACTTACTAACGCAGCCCTGGCCAGCGCTTCACTGATAACTCTTCTTTCTCCCTGGGAGGCCTCCACAGGTTGGGGAGAAAGAGGACTCCTCAAATCTTCTCAAACCTTGGGAAGTAAGGCGGGCCAGGGGCGGCCCAGGCAGAACTGGGGCGGTGTTTTTCACCCCCCCTGGAAGCACACTCAACCCCACAAAATCACACAAACAGCACCCCGACACCACCTGGGATGGGGCCCACCTGCGGCGTGGGGCATGCTCCCACCCTCTCTCCATCTGCACCTCGGTGGTGGGAGCTTTTCCAGCAGCCCACCTCACACCTGGAGGGGTCTCATCCCAGCCCTCACGAGCGTGCTGCTGACCGCACACCCCCTTTGGTGAGAGGGGCGCTGGAACCTCAGGCCCCGGGGGCCCGGGGCTGACGAAGGCCGTTCCCACGCGCGCGGCGGGTGTGGCGCGCAGGGCGCGGCGTGGACCGCGAGGGGGGCGCGGGG